CGTTCATGGCGTGGTCTACATGCACAATTAAAGATTGTCACAAACTGCGTATTAAAACAAGCTTAAAACGGAACCTCAATCTATATGTATACTTAAAAGTGGAGGAAGGTTCTACAAGTGTTGTCGACGAATTAGCTGCTGGCAGGGTCCAATGATGTTGCTGTCAGAGTTGTGGACTCCAGCTGACACTAGTTTGAAATTGAATCCTTCAAAATTACACCACCCTGAGATAGAACCCTTTTCAGAACACTAATTATTAGTGGAGTCAGAAGTAAGTGCCGACTTATCTTAGCTATCTTCAACTTCCACTCATAATTTTGGGACACTAAGAACCGAATGTTCCGCGAATAGTGGACTTCGGCCGAGTCACCGTAACCTCCCCTTCAAAAAGCGAGAAAGTGTCGGGTGCAGACCAAACACCACAACTGACGACGGCCTCCAAGTAAATCTGGTTAGAAGTTGTTCATAGTGATAGCTGATTTCTGGTAAATGATAGTTGTAATTAGTGACAATGATAGACAACTGCAACAGGCTAATCATTTCATTGGCAGAAAACATTAACATTTTGTGAAGGCCGTCGTCACTTGTGGTGCATGGTCTGCACCCGACACTTTCTCGCTTTTTGAAGGGGAGGGTATTACGTATCAATTTGGAATAAAATGAATTATGCGAAATCTAATCGAAGGCAGCGATTACGATAGATCTCAAAGGGGTTTAGAGGGGACGTGGGGTCTCAATAGTACGCCAATGGCGAAAAAAGCAAAGAAATCCGTCAAAAATAAGCAAAATAGTACCCCTTTGATTGCCCTTTCATTTTCGACCATGGATGAGCGACGGTAAAGAACGACGTTGTTCGGACGTGTTTAACCCCGATAGCCGCCATCATGCCAACAAGCATAGTGTTTTGATTGATAAGGCATTACATGGGCAAGTTGGAAGATACAGCCGCTAAAAGGGAAATGATCTCCCAAAATGAAAAGCCAACAGCAAACAGCTCGCCCAAGTCATCAACTGAACAAGTGGGCGTAACGCTGCTGGGGCGGAGTGCTGCGGAGGTCCTGCTCAGCAACCACAGCACCTTTCGCCGTGGAAGCGCCACACATCGCTTCCTTGGCAGCCAAGTAATTGCTCCGTGTGGCGCAGGTTCTCCCCCGATGCGAAAATTCCTTATCGTAATCGCTTCCTTTGAGGAATTGAATCGGTGCGCACTCGACACTGTTGCCTGCGGTGTTGATCCACTTATTGCCTTTCTTTGAACCTATTACTTACCTTGAAAGTGGATGTACGGAAAGAAGAAGGGATGTAGGACAATGGAGAGCAAGTGCCGAGTCTATGACAAAACAAGCCCATCAGTCCTTGGCCACTCAACTTCAACTTGCGACCCAGGTTCAATCAGTACTACACATTCGATAAACTAATTCATAGACAACTAAACTGTTCCACCTTTCGCGAAAGCTGCCTGCAAGTGGCTTCGTAAATGTTCAATATCTGATTTTGTGTTCGTGAAGCATGGTAGTGACTTTACCTTCCTACGCTTTAAATTTACAGAGCAGGTGAAGAAACTTTATTCGATATTTTTCCAACCGGGTGCATGCTATAGATGAGTGGAGAACAGAAAAAAGCCATCAACAGGAAGCGAATTTATTTCCGACATAGATGTTGACGCTTCAGAGGATTTGAAAGATGCACAGAACATGCATATAATATAAGGTATAAAAATGATTGCATCCATATGGAGTGCCTCTATCGAGTCCCTTTATCTGAAAAAGGTACCTCAGGATTAAGTCGCAACCAAGATACTAGTTTATGATAGCTCCGATACTATGCTCACGTGAGTAGACCGCGAGAGACTTTTATGGGCGGCAACTTGGAATTGCAAAAACAAGGGAACTATAAATCGATTTATCGCAATCAGTAGCAGGATGAGACGTATAAGGTTGGCTGCAGCGATCCTACAAGCGTGGTAAGCACTAAGAGATTATATGATTGTAGGGTGAGTTAGAAGATGAAACGCAGGTACGTTGATTCTTCGACTAAATAGTAACTCAATGCAAACGACCAGTTACTCAGTTTCACAGATAGATGGGCTTGCTGAAACAAAACGTTTCGCCCAGGGCGGGACTGAACCCGCACTGCTCTGGGCTTTCGGGCAAGTTGCGCTACAGTTCGTACAGGGGAAACAATGTTCAATTCCAAATAGCTTTTATGGTAAGTACATAGCCTTTCGCATCAGCCGTCTAAGTGTGAGCCGGTTAGCTGATAATCGCGGAAATGACGCGAGGCTGAGCGTTTAGAAATGGATTTTCCCATGAAAACATGAATACTAGGATAGCTTAAACCATATGATAGTTTTTCTTGTACTGCTAAAAATCTAGAAAATTACCATGAAAAGCTGAGTTGGAATGAAATGGTGCCCCGGTAGCGTAACTGGTAGCGCACTTTGCCCGGAAAGCGAGAGGTGCGGGTTCTAGTCCCGCCTGGGGCGAAAGTTTTGTTCACAACCCAGCATTCTTGTGAAACATTCGCAACGCGAACTGCGGCGTTAAAACAGCAGTTAACAAACAAAACAAGTCATCAGTATTGGAAAGCAAGAAATTGAGAAAATAAGTGTGTTTTGTGGTGTCTCGCTTTCACCGTGTAGTAGAAACTGCGAGTTTCGTGGTTGGTTTAACGTATTGCAGAGGTCATATCCACCGACAAGTAGTTTATTTTAATGGCTTACCTTTATCCACCATCTCGAGAAACCTCCATAGAGCACTCTAAGTACTTTTTGCTCCACTGATGTACGAGGCCACGCGGGCGGGAACTGCCTAAACGAAACAATTATAGTTTGAAAGAAAATGTAACGGTTGATCCTATAAACTCACCCTGCTGCATCGATCAGGAAATAATTCCCAGTTGGTCTGTCCGGTGTACTTACCCAATCAAAAGCCATTTTCGACATTGTGTCATTCCACACCTATAAGCAGCGACGTGATATTGATGAAACGAGAGGTAAGCAAACCAGCCCTTTTGGCGTTTCTGCTGGGGCCGTATGCTGAATGTTGGGGAGGGGATGGGGTCCCCGAGGTCGACGGACTACTTCAACTCGGTCGGTACGGTAGGAGAGTGATGACGAAGTGGTGCAGCTAGGTCCAGCAGCTCCGCCAAAAGGGCTGGTTTGCTTACCCCAGGACTAAGCCTTGGAGAGAGGACGGACCTGCGTCCGTCCTCTCTTTAAGGCTTAGTCCTGAGGTAAGCATCAAATTGAGGCGGTTTTAAGGACCGAGTTGAAGTAGTCCGTCGACCGTCGGGGACCCATCCCCTCCCCAACATTCAGCATACGGCCCCAGCAGAAACGCCAAAAGGGCTGGTTTGCTTACTTCATGAAACGACCTGTTGTCAAATTCATGCTGTGTTAAAGAGAACTGGCTAAGAAAAGCATTGGGAGTGAGGAAATCATTTCTCACGTGTGACACGCTTCACATAAAATCACAAGGATGTCTTAATGGGCATCTAATCTCCTTAGTATAGTATTTTGCGAGGGGAGGCAACAGGCAGATCAGTCTTTTTTGCTCTATTTTAGTGGATATTAGCCAGTTCTAGGGCCGATAATGAATGAGTTTGTGGCCCTTCCCTTGTGGCAATTCCGGTTACGATCCCAATTACGATCCAATAATGCGTGTTAACCAATGCCTACCTTTTGCCCTCCAAGAGATATCATAAAAAGGGCTAACCAGATGAGGATTATTCGTTGCCATGTAACCAGTATACATCCTCTTCACTGATGGTGGCATGCGCCATTGTACAGCTGGAAAGGTATAAATCATTTCTATAACCAACGTGAGGGTTTTTTCAGTAAACACAACTTAATCAGATAGGCTGGTTTCGAGAGACACAGCCATGCATATACTGCACTTACGTCCAGCTTCGGTGACGCCGACTAGTAGGAAACACAGCGCTGTCAATAGCAAGAACATCTTAACCTGTATGTCTGTGATGCTCACTCCCCTTTTATTCGCGTAGGAAGAGTGATTTTCATGTGTCAGAATTGATTTTCGAATGAATCGCACAGAATCGCATCAAATTATTATTTCATTCATTGTAGTCATTTGTCCTAAACACACACTGCCCGCCACCGTTCCCTGTACTTTAGTGGATCTTGTTTACTGATTTCGCCCCCACATTCACCATCTTACGGATCCGACGACAGAACTGTCCTTAGCGGATCACGGCAATATGTATGTTCGCAATAATTATCGCTTCTTCGCAATGGAATTGGAGTCTCTAGACAAAAGCTCTATTAGAAGCTCTATTAAAAATATTGAAATCAACTCCTGTTCGAGGTCATGAGAACAGAAAAGAAAAAGTAATGCATGAGCTCGAAAGTGTTGAAATTGTGTAAAATCTTCAAATTTGATAGCTTCAGCTCCGCATTCACACCTTATGCAAGCACCATATGGCGTTTGTTCGTTCCAGTGAAAATCCAGTTAGAGGGCGAAGGGGGTCACTAATTTGTGTTCTCCAATACTTAAAGCCACGAGTCAGGATTAGGTGACCATAGAAGGCCTTTCCTTTCACTATATTTCAGAATGCGCCCAGAGTGGTGCTTCACACTGCGTCCAGGGTCGGTCCTATCGTTGCTAACTTTTTGGATTTTTTCTACGACCCCCCCCCCTTCATGGGCGATTTGGTACGACCCCCCTGTGTGTAGCTCAAGTGGTGATAAGATTACTTAAACAATAATAATCGTATAAATACAGAACTTCTTTAGAAAGTGCTGAATTTCGGACCAAATTTCATAAAAGACGAGTTACCGTTCCGAAAAAACAGCGTACGCATGGAATTTGGACATAAAGTCATTTGTGACGCGGACCTCATGGCTGAGGGCTAAAGGATTGACAGGTTTTGAATGTGGTGGATCGCGCCCTCGGTGACTGCAATGGGGCGCGTTTGTGAATGGGAACAGGTGTCGAAAGGGGAAATTGAGAAGTAGAGGAATTTTTCCTTGTAAAATTTTTCAGGTTCCTCGGAAGACGGAGGTGGATTTTTCTGGATCACCGACGGTCATCCTTCTTAAGTAGAGCGGATTTGTTCTTAAACAATCTGAAATAATTAAGTTATTGAGCAAGAAATGAATTTGCACTACAATTTTCACCTTCCTCTTTTTAGGGCTATAACTTTCTTCATATTCGAGCTTTTGCGCCGGAGTTATTTGATTTAAAAAATTCAAATCATTCTCTCTCCAATCATGGCTGAAAATTTTCATCGAAAGCTAATTTAGTAAAAATTTAGCACGTTGGAACTTTTTTCTGTGCAAATGCGACTTTTCAACCTTTAAACGACCATAACTTCCTTCAAACTCATTTATTTGGGAAGCTGAACCCGGTATGAGAAACTACAAGATTCAAGCTTTCTAAAAAGTACCCAAATGTTTTTGAAAGTCAGTAGTTCAAAAATTAGTCCCGTTGCTACATTTTAGGGGGGTTCGCGGAACTATTTTTCTGAAACCGCGACTTTTCAACCTTTAAACGACATAACTTCCTTCAAACTCATTTATTTGGGAAGCTGAACACGGTATGAGAAACTACAGGATTCAAGCTTTCTAAAAAAGTACCAAAAGTTTTCTTAAAAGTCAGTAGTTCAAAAATTAGTCCCGTTGCTACATTTTTTTGAGGGCATTCTCCAAGCCATTCTCTTAAGAAAGCGGTTTTTTTTAGGTTTCACTGGCCGCAACCTCCAGGGAAAACAATATCGTGTTGACCATAGGATGTGTTAGAATGCTTTGTGCATGCGCTTGCACTGATATCCCCTGCCTTGGTGTGCGCCACGCCTCGGTCGCGCTTCTGATTAGCTGATTCATTTGAAAGCTCATTCAGAAGGAAGCGGCTTACAGATGCTCTAGCATCAATTATCTTGCGTAAACGTAATGTGGTGACTATTGTCCATGTTGTCATTAGGCAATACTCCAGCTACACTTTAGTTTCAAATGTGGTTTCGTGGGTGTAGACCCATGTCATGGTGGGAGCACTTTTGGAACGATGCTACATGTCTTGCAGCTGCTGTTTCTGCAAGTATTCTAATGCTCTTCCTGAAACATGG